GGGGGGGGGGGGGGGGGGGGGGGGAAAGGAGAGTTGTGAGCAGTCCGTGGGCGGGCTCAAGGGTGGGCTGATGCCGTGGCATCATTCGGTGCCGTGGAAGCATGGGGCTGGGAAGAGGGCGCGAGACAAGTGAGGTGTCAAGCCACAAAGGCTAGGAGGCACGCGCTCTCCAAGAGCGCCCTTGGTGGACAAGGAGTTGGATTCCGCTCCGTCACCCTCATCCCCGACCCACAGGCAGCAGGGTACGTCCAATTCCCAACTCACGCCAGACCCAGGCCACACAATTCTGAATCCCCGCAGGACGGTTTGGGCCACGTTGATCCGCGCGGAACCTCGCTCTGCCTCATCTTCCTCCCTGTCAGATGGGAATGTCAACTGCGCCCTCCAGGTCAACATGTGAGCCGCTTTGGGGGCTTATTTTGTAGAACTGCCCAGCCTGCCTTGGGGCAGAGAGACCACAGCCTCGTGCTGACTCCCGTCTTCCCACCTCCTCTTGCCCCTTGGAGTCTTTTCCGGAAGACCAGACTTCCCCTTGCTTTCCCATCAGCCCAGGCCTCGGAACAGTCCAAGCACGTCGCAGGCACTTTCTCCGTCATTTGGAATGAAAGAACGTTCTGTGAGGACCACAGATTGTGCGCTGCTCTACCTCACCGTTTCCACGGCAACTGCCCTGTGCGGGCTTCCTTCCTCTTTGCTCTGATGTGCGGTTGCCTACCGATGGGTCGCTCCAACCCTCCTCTCTTAAATTCTGACCAAGTCGTGCAATAAGAACGATCGCCGAGTGTTGCCATCTGCTTGCCATCTGCTCCGTAAGCCCGTGTTCTAAGCGCTGTGCGTGTGTCAACTCAATCTTTCTGGCCGCTAGAAAAGGGTCGGGCTCGTCCTCAAATGGAGGTCCAGGGCAGGCACCCAGGGCGGGGTCCCCCCACCAGGTGGATGGGAAGGTGGGGCTCGGGCTGGGGAGGGAGGAGGGGTGGCGGGTGCCAGACGGCCCGCGCAGAAAACCAACGGCAGCTCCACGATGTGTCAGTGTTGCCAAGGCAGAGAGGGCGGGGCTGCTTCCTCCCCGCTCAGGGCCATGAGCAGAAGGCCCCGTGTTTACCAAAATGTGGGGAAATGTTTTTTAAAAGCTTCGGACTATGAAGGAAGGAAACCTAACGCAAGACCGCTGCAACAGACACATCTTTCAATGCCGACATCGCATTATTTTAACCAACCGAGTGCAGTTGGATCCAGTTCCCACGTGTCTGTAAATGAACTTATGCTGAAAGCGGCAAGGAGAAGCATCCTGTCATGTCTGGGGTCATGTCGGGGGCTCTGGTCGCCATGCACCAGAGCAGTGAGGGCCTCAGACCAGCCGCGAGAGGCGTAGAAGGAAGATGCACACCTACGATGCGTTCTGTGCCATGGGGCGGCGAACCTTGTAGGAGCCTTTAGAGCTGGCGGGATGCCTGTTTTTCAGGTAAGAAAAGTGAGGTGCGGAGTCCTTCCGTCCTTTTCCCAAGCTCTCATGATGTGGCTTGTAAGTGGCCCAGGGGACTCCAAAGCCAAGGAGAAGGTGTGACCCTAGTGTCCATCCCGGTGAACAGCAGGCTGCCTCTTCTGCCCGACGGCTGCCATCGGTTTTGATGAAACATGCTTTGTTTTTGTGCTTGAATGAATGTCATCAGTTTCACGGAGTACATAGTTTGAGTGCTGGAG